AAAAAAAAAAAAAAAAGATGCTGTTAACATGAGAGCTGTGTAGAATTGAGACCCACTGAGTCAGATGCACGGTGGATATTACTTCCACTGTTAAAATGTCTTGGTTTTGGCTGGGCACAGTGGTTCCTGCCTGTAATCCCAGCACTTTGGGAGGCTGAGGCAGGCAGATCACATGAGGCCAGGAGTTCGAGACCAGCCTGGCTAACATGGTGAAACTCAGAAATTCAAGACCAGCCTGGGCAACATAGCGAGACTCCATCTCTATTTTAAAAAATATTTTATCTTTTAAAATTTAAAAATACGTAATTAAATAAAGTAATATGTATTAAGTGTAGAGATTTAGAAGTCACCTTCATTCTATCCACCACAAAAGGAAAGACAAATAATTGTTCTTAATCCCTGAATCTACAAATCCGTTCTTTTTTTTTGTGACAGAGTACTCAGTCTGTCATCCAGGCTGGAGTGCAGTGGCACAATCTCAGCTCACTGCAACCTCTGCCTCCCAGGTTCAAGTGTTTCTCCTGCCTTAGCCTCCCAAGTAGCTGGAACCACAAGCATGCGCCACCACACCCAGCTAAATTTGTATTTTTAGTAGAGATGGGGTTTTGCCATGTTGGCCAAGCTAGTCTCGAACTTGTGACCTCGGGTGATCTACCCGCCTGGGCCTCCCAAAGTGCTGGGATTACAGGCGTGAGCCACCATGCCCAGCCCATTCTGCTATTTTTAAGTTCAGGAACAACAACAACAAAACTGTTAGCTCTTTCAAAAGTTAAAAACCTAATATCAAAATAAACTTTCTAGGTGTTAAAATTAAAAAAGCAAATGTTAGCTGAGCATTAAATTGTTGGAAATGGAGAGGTTTGTGTTGATACAGCTGTTGAAAAATGTTTAATAATACTTGTTCTTAAATAGTAGAGAGAGAAAAGAGGAAAGACGAATTGCTTAATATTGCGAAGTCAAAGCAAGAACGCACAGATTCAGAACTGCACAATCTGAGACAGGTACGTCCCCAAACGTCCTTCTCTATCACGTAAGAAATGCTTGTAAACAAATAGCAAATTAGGAAAAATGTATGCCTGTCAATTTTGTTTAATTGGTGGTTTGGAATCCTAACTACTTAGTCGTATATCATGTTTAGTACAGCAGATGGGGTCTTGCCTGTGGTGATTAAACGTTGGGAGGCCAGCTATCCTGCCAAACCTTAGAGCTAACATAGGAAAATTAAAAGGAGATACATTTAGCATATTTCTCTAGTAACTATCTGATCTGTTTTAGGATTTGTGAACTGTTTCAGGGAAAGTGCCAAATTGTTGGTTCAGTTTAGTTTTGTTATTACATTTCATACTGATTTATCAATATCTATGACAGATTTATGTAAAACAACAGAGTGATCTGCAGTTTCTTAATTTCAATGCGGAAAATTCTCAGGAATTAATACAGATGTATGATTCAAAGATGGAGGAATCAAAGGCTCTAGACTCCAGGTAATCTTAGCAAGATGCAATTAATACGATCTTGTATTGTATTCCATCAGTCAGTAATTACTGTGCACTTACTATTGGCCAGTACCGACTACTGTTCCCCATATGGTAGGAAATAAATGTGGCCAGGCGCGATGGCTCACGCCTGTAATCCCAGCACTTTGGGAGGCCTAAGTGGGTGGGTCACCTGAGGTCAGGAGTTTGAGACCAGCCTGGCCAACATGGTGAAACTCCATCTCTACTAAAAATACAAAAATTAGCTGGGCATAGTGGCTCACTCCTGTAGTCCCAGCTCCTCGGGAGGCTGAGGTACAAGAATGGCTTGAACCCAGGAGGCAGAGGTTGCAGTGAGCCAAGATCGCGCCACTGTACTCCAGCCTGGGCAACAGAGTGAGACTTGGTCTCAAAATAAGTAAATTTATAAATAAAAATACAAAAATTAGCTGGGCATTATTGTGGACACCTGTAGTCCCAGCTACTAGGGAGACTGAGTCAGGAGAATTGCTTGAACCCAGGAGGTGGAGGTTGCAGTGAACCGAGATCATGCCACTGCACTCCAGCCTGAGTGACAAGACCAAAACTCCATCTCAAAAATAAAGTAAAATAAAGAAATGTGTGTGAGCTAATAATGCTTATCATAATCCTCAGTTGTAGGAAGACCTGATCTAAGAATTTTAGGTGTGATCCTGATTTAGCCATTGGATAGAAGTAAATTTTTTAAACGTGATTTGCCCTTCTTTTTTTTTTTTTT